CGTTAATTACCCTAGGGGGTCCCTTAAAAATTCAGACATAGCTTCAAATCGACAATACAAGTATTGTCATATGGCCCCAAGCGAAGGCCATATTTTTCCCCATATTCTTCCGATTCTTGAGCGGAACACCTTATACGATTTGTAGACCCATTCTCCACCAATCTACATCAAAATCTCATAACGAATTTTTAAATAAAATTTTTGTACATTTTTCTTTCTTAAAAATTTTGAAAATGCTCATGATGGACATTATGGCACCAAGCGGAGGCCATTTCTTCGCTAATATTTTTCTAATTCTTAGGAAGAATACCTTGAACGAATCGTGGATCGATTTCTCGCCAAACTGCATCATATGTATATTTACAAAAAATTGCTAAATCACTTTTTTTTCTAGGGTCTCTTTAAAAAAATTGCAAAATGCTTGTTAAACGAAATATTACACATCCGCAGATAAAGCCGTCAACTTCTTAAATATGAAGAATAAAATGTAATACAAAGCATGTGACCTACATTGAAGTCGTCACCTTTTTAAAATATATTCTTAAGTACACAAACCCATAAAATGTTGAACTCTAACATTTAGTTTGATGACATTTTGAGCTTTCCCATTCTATGATTGATAACAGTCGTTGCCACATCTGTGCTTTTCAAGCTCGAGAGTAATTTCACACCCACTGCCAAATCCACGCCCCGGCCATTAAATTCCTTTTTATTTCAGGAAAAGGAAATCAATTTCAAGTTACTATTGTACCAGTTTTACTTTTGTAGAGATGCTCGTTTTCGTATATTTTCTTACACTTGCTGGTGTGTTTTATTTTTGAGGGTGTGTTTGGAGGGTAAGAGCCTCAACTTGATCCGTTTGTGGCATGTGGCAGAGATTTTTGGTGGCTTCGGAGGCTGAGAAGCCATAGAATGGCGCCGAAACTCAAAGGAGAGAAGGTTCTTCAGAGACAACGTCGCGGATTATGGCTCGCTGATTTATTTTCCCTTTGAATATGCGCTTCCTGTCGGAGATTTTCTTTTCTCTGACAGAGGAATATATTTTTAATATTTTCATTTCTCAATGAGCAGTCCCGCCCGTCTGCCACTGCCTGACAGATGATGTTTCTTTCGTGTTTCCTAAAAACAACAATTTCGGAAGTGGGTGTCCGTGGGCTGGGCCGCGCCCACGCTGCCCTTCAGTGCCGCATGATGCGGCAGAAGAGTTTTCATTTATTTTGTTTGCTCGCCGGTCTCGCTTTTGACACTTTCATTGCCCGGCGATATAAAAGTTTTCCAATAGAAGCACCGCAACCGACCTTTGACCACCAGAACGTAACCAGGCGGAGGCGGAAAGTGGCGGCACTTTTAGATTAATCACCCCGACGTTTCCACTCGGCTTAACCTTTATGACCCGTCCCACGGTACCGAATGGTGGACCCTAGGCCCCGTACCCTCGACCCTGCACCCTGAATCCTGCACCCTGGATCCACTTGATTCGCACAATTACACAACAACTCGGCCACAGACCGATGGGGGACCGCCCACGGCCAACAAATTTATTGGCAGCTGACCACAGGATAACACAGAAAAAAAAACAAGGCAAAAAAAACTCCATACGGATTCGGTGGCTGATTTACTGACATAACAGGATACTGAAATATTTTTCCCCTGGCACAGGACATAAACTTTTGTATTTAGCCATAGGGCGTGAGTGTTTTTTTAGCAGAAAAATAGTATCGCTTCAAGAGGTCTTCTTAAGATTCCTTTTGTCCTTGCATACAAAATACAATTTTCTTTTGGGCCTGGCCAAAATGCAGCTGTCTTGCATTTTTCCGATTTTCTTTCGTATTTTTCTTCTTTTTTTTTCCATCCTACACAGAAACAAAGGGAAAGGTCCTGACAGCTTGTGTCAGATTCAAATTGGTTTATTCTCTACCCACACTTGAATTGAATTGCGGAAAGTGGAACGTGCAACGTGCACTTGTGATGCGCTTTTAAGGACTGGAAAATTCAAAGTGGCAAGTGGCAAATGCCACCACCATGTGCCACCAAAGATGGATAATCCGTGTCGCTTTTTCAATCCTTCAATGCAGATGCGGAAGAACTGCGGCTTGTGGCGACAGGTGGCGATTGATTCGAAATTGACTTTCATCCATAAACTAGAAAATTCAAAATTGCTAAAGGTTTGAATTCAAATAGACAGGAAAATGAATTGATTTTTGCTAGTGATTTTATCCATTAAATAGTATTATCCTTTTAGTATTCTATCCGTAACTTTTTTAAAAATTTAGAATTTCTCCTTCTCCTCGCCATTAGCTTTTTGTAAATAGAAAGCACCTGCAAGGCTCTTGAAAAAAGGGAGCCACTTGACTCATTTTTGATTGAACACCCCTTTCAAGCTGCTTATCAATTCCGAAGACCTTTGTGGGGACTGCACGGCTATTGGCTCGCCAAGTGCTCCATCATAGGACTCACAATGCAGGAGTCACCAGACAGGACTCGAGTCTCGAGACCATCCGCAGTGACCTTTCTGCTTGGCTGGCTTTTCAAGTGCCTGGCAGCGGAGTGGATGTCATAAATTCAAATTGAAATCAAATACACAAAAAAACTTGGCACATTGTCAAGAAACTTGTCGGACAATGATTCAAAAATAAAAAATAAATGAATGAATACAATTAAATGCGAATGAGTCTGGTGAGTAATAAAGAGACGACAATCATAAACAATAACGCGGCATATAAATAACCTATTTGCAGTTATAAATCCTCCATGCGAGTCCATGTCCTTTGTGTTTCTGCAGCAAATAGCTGCCATTTGCATAATGGAAACTGCCTGGAAGACGAAGGACTTGGCATTTAGGACCAAGGAGCAACTACGTCATTGTTTGCAATGTGCGTCTGAAAAGTTTTTGCGCCTGAAAATGGTGGCCATTTTAGTTTTATCTCGACGCTTCAGACATTAGCCTTAATATGTCTTGAAGGTATAATTTTTATGCTTATTATTTAGCCCAACAAGTGGGGATGGAGGTATAATACCCTGTTTTGTGGCGTTTTTGGGATTAACTAGGAGAAGTTGTAGGGTTGGATGTTGTAGGGTTGCCTGAATTACCATTCCTTCTTTTTACTTGTGATGAACCTTTTTCAAGAGCACTGTTTTGAAGCTTTTATAGAAAAATTAATTTGCCAAATAGCTTACTCAATGAAGTATTTTTATGTCTTATCTATAATTATTCGTAAAATGATGCATATACACGTGTGTCTTAGATTTAGCTTATACGTATAAAGTTTTCAAAGAGCCACAACTCCATGCTGTTAAAGGTTAGTTTGAAAGTGAGAGACGCGTGCCACATTTTATGACCTGGCCAGACTGTCCGGCTGACCCGAAAATAACCCTAGAGTGACCTGACTTGACACACGCGCCGCTTTCTTATCAACTTTCAAATGACAGTTTTATGATTTCGACCGCTTATCAACTCCGGAGGAGTACTCCCCAGCTCCTTTGGTGGCTAATCAAAAAGAGCTTACTACCTTGTTGCGAGCAAATCCTTTGGGAAAACTCCGTCTTCTCTCGCCGTAGTGTGTTTGGTGAGAAACAACCGGCAGGGCGAGCGGAAACGGATGCGAGTTGGTTCAGCTTACGGAGCTAGCTGCGGCGTGTCCTTTGACGTTCTTCGCGTTGGCCATAAATCAGCTAAAAGCCACAACTTTTGACGGAAACTGAAGACGTCCGGAAGGGGTTTCCCTCTAAGCTGGAGCTGGAGCTTGAGAAACTTAAGATGGTGGCATCCCCGGAAGGGACTGGAATTTAAACAAAATACTGAAGTGGACCATAATAATCAGTATCTTGGTTTATGATGCTCTTACTAGAAACCTTAAATTATAAAGAAAAAAATCAAAACACAGTTTCGGTGTACTTGGAATATAAAATCAATAATTCATACACATGTACTCGAACAAGGGCGTGATTCTAGTAAGCCAAAAATATGCACATAAATAAATAAAGTTCAAGTGGCAACGTTCGGGCCAAAAGTTAACCATTCGACCACAATATTTTCTGTTTTGTTTCTGGCTTTGGCTTTTGTTTACCTTTGTCTGGGCCAATCGGGCGTGTGTGGATGTGAATGTTGACTGTGATTTAACCAGCAGAAAATGTAGACCACCCGCAGGACCAAAGCAATCAGCATCTAGCACCAAAGTTACTGCGTCACCCGCCACCACTGGAGGTCCTTTTGGTCCTGAAAAATGGCAAGCGGATGTTGTGCGCAACGAGCCGAGTCATGACATTTGCATAACAAATTCCATTTAGTCCCCTACCACCATTTTTTCGAACTCGGAACGACGGAAACATGTTTATTTTAGATCATTTCATTCTATTCAACCCGCTTTTCGGGCTTTCCATCATAATTATATGTCACAAATACCGGGAACTCTGGCACTCGCTCTTCATTATTCAATCATTTGTGGCATGCCACCCCCCAGAAACTGTGTGCGAAATTTATTGGAGCTTTAAAGGCCCCGGCATTGAGGTGAGGAATCAATGAAACAGGGCGCGTGTTTGGTTCGTTGTTAAATCAAATCAACGCTACATTAGGCTCACACCACAGTTCCCCTCGTAAAAGAGGCTTCCAGCTGGCGACAGTGGACTGAGATATAAAATTGAAACTGATTTGTTCAGATACTCAGGACCTGAAAGCATTAATGTAGCCCCAGTACTTGTTCCACTGTCGCCCTAGAACATGGAACCCCGAATGACTTATGGTTTCTTCATCTAACCAAACATAATTCCACATAATTTGTCAGCTGAGCGAGTACGAGAACGCGGCTTTGAAGTCGTCTGTAATTTGTTTATTTCCTGAAGGTGATACAATCTCGGAGGGTGTGTGAAAATGAAAAGGCCTGCCAGGAGCTTAGGCCGAGGCAGGGACCTCGTGGCGTATATGTGACGGGATTCGTAGGTTTTCCATTTGGATTCTTTGAGGTGTGAGTGGAATGGTGAGTAAAGCCTTCTGGGCAAGCAGTCAGATTTTAATTCAATTTATCTGAGTCCTTGTTTTGTGTCACCTAGTCCTGGCGCAGTGTAGTCGCCTCCATGTCTATCTTTTCCACGTAAATGCATTGCAGATCCTCGACCTTGGCCAGGATTTCGGTTTTCAGTTCTTGGAAGGGGCGCACCAGCCGCACGGGCACTGTCTCATCGCGTCCTTGGAACAGGGTCTCCCCGCTGAAATCCACAAATCCGTACTTCCTGGCACCGAGCAGAGTGGCCAGTAACTTGTCAGAGATGTCGTTGTAGAGGTCGAAAAGGGCCCCAAACTCCACGGTCTTGCTTCCATGCCCTTCGGGATCTTCCTGTCCGGACTTCTCAATCTGTTCACAAAGCTGCAAGATCTCTTGCAGCACCTGGACATTGGCTGCCAGAGCCCTCTGCTCCGAGCGACTGCCGGCCGGAGCCCGGCCATACTCCTCCTGGCCAAAACTGCGCTTAGGCATCTCGCTGACGTTGTAGTGGGCGAAGGGATTGATCATCATCCACTGCTGGTGCTGCTCCGCCTGCTGATTGAAGTGCATGATGCGTGAGGATACCGAGTTTTCCTGAAAGCTACAGTTCAATAACCTCTTAGGCAGGACGAAGTGCCGAACTCACCTCTGGCCCACTCGCTGGCTGCTTTTCTGCCATTTCGTTTGGGATTTTTAAAAGGTAATTTTCGAAACAGTTGCCGAAAGTTATACAGACGAAGTCATTCTAGGGGAGCCTACTGTGACTTCCTGAAAAGCCAAATAAACAAACACAATTTCACATGCATCTCATTAGGGATTCTTTCAATCCCAGACCGCGTCAAAGCAACCACAAGGGCGTGAGCTCTCCGGGATAATCAATCAGAGTGTCGGCCATAAAGTCAATGTATTTTCTGTATTTACAGTATGTATTTGGTTCCATGGATTTAAGCCGCAGCCACAGGCAGTGCCACAGGCAGTAGCAGCCATGTGGCAAATGCGGCGGAAACAGCTCGCAAACTAGCTCCATAAATTTAAGCCCCGAATGGAGCGCGCAAGTCACCGGAAGTATTTGGAAGCTCAGTGCAACCGGAAATACAAAACAAATTTCCCAGAGAGAGACTAGCAAGAAAAAAAAGAAAAAGCAACGAAAAAAGGATAAGGGAATGTGAAGAAATTAATGAAACAAAACGAGGAATTGAAAGGCCAAAAGATAATGAAAGTAAGAATACCACGACGAAGCTTTAATGTTCTTTGGATTAAATATATTTTTGTAGTTTCATTTGTATCTTGGGATCTCTTATGGAGTTTTAAAGTACAGTTATTAACCTAATTGTTAAATTTGCCTTGAACCTATTTATGTTAAAGCTTGTCAGCTTGGAAGCTTTCCAAAGGATCTTCCCCTCCGGCTGACTCCAATTAAATATTGTCACACAATCTGGCAATCCAATTATTTTGCTGCTGAGGGGATGAACCAATAGTTCCACTGAATGAGCATTAAGTCCTTGCTTAAAGCAAGGACTCCGACTCCGACTGTGTCCTCGCAGGGTATCAAAACTGTTTTGTGGCGGTTTTTCTGTTTGTCCTTTTCCGCCAAGCGGTCAGAGGAGGGAGACACAACAGACAAATGGCAAAATGGCGCCACTTCCACATCCGCTAAGCAATAAACATTAATGCGCAATTAATGCTGGTGTCAGGACTGTGACTCTGACTTTGGTGTTGGGGGTTTCCCTCCTCCGATTGTTGTCCCAACCTGGGATCTGTTGTCTGTTCTTGATTCCTCCACTTGCTGTGATTAACGTTTGCCGTTGGTCTTTAGTTATTTATGGCCGGGCATGACAAATGAAATCAAGTGGGCACAGGGCATCGGGCCAGGCTAATGCAAAGCAGCTTATTTTCGTCCTGGCGAGGGCGAGAGTGGCTTTGAAGTTTCTTACATTTGGCGGGTATTTGCTCACTAACAAACTTTCCATTTGATGAAGTGTCTATTGAACGTTTTTTAAGGAGTCCAAGGAGCAAGGATGTTCGAGTGTCAACAACTGACAGTGATGGCGATGATTTAATTTTAATGAGGCTGGGAAAATAATTCTCGTCATTCTGCAGACATGTTAAGAATTTCTATTTGTGAACCAATTATTTGATTTCCCATATAATTAATTTTTAGTCCTGTTGTCTTTTGATCTCCATCACTATTGGTAACTAAAGCCTGCCAGCTGTCTGACTATTTCCTTGACTGCTTCCTAAGCTGCAACCGGAAAATGTCGAGTGTGAGTGGCAGCTGGAAAAGTGCCACGCCCCCTTGCCCCGTGACAACTGGCACTTAAGATCCGACAATGTCTGCATATGGCCCCGAGAATTTATGGCTTGTTTGTATTGGCCCTCTAGAAAATCCCCGACGCATTATTCAATTTGGTTCTGGCTGAAATGTAAAACAATTTTCCGCAAATGCAGCAGCCAAAATCAGCCAAAAGAAAAAGAAAAGAAATTGTCTCGCCTGAACGAATTTTATGTGTGGCACGTTCGGCAATAAATTTGTCGGGTTGAGGAAAATCGTTCGTATTGGATTTACAAATTGCTGCTTAATCCGCCTTTTTTCATTGAGCCGGAGACTGAATTTATATGGCCTGCGGTTAACACCTGGTTTTGACGGGCTTTGTAAACCAAAATCCACTTTGAGAGCTTTGAAAAAAAAAATAGTTGTCTTCCCAAAATAATTTTCAGATCAATGCCAAAGAATTTCGGCCATTTGTCAGCAAAGTCTTGCTTTCTTTAACCCATTTCCCTTGTTTTGTTTACTAGAAGACAAAGCACTCTGACTTGGCCCTTAAAATTTTGTGTCATTTATAACTTTTTGGCCAAAACGACTAAGCGATTTATTTTGTGTTTTGGCTCGGTCTGGCTGAAGTCAAATTTTGATAAATGAACGAATTCCGAACCGAAAGTAGTCTTTGCATAAAAACCAGAGTGATGGGAGGACATCTGGTAGTTGAATTTTTTCAGCATCATTGGGCAGGAGCCGAGGTTTGGTTTATGACTTTTCTGGCCTAGTCGGTGGCTGTCATAATCAGAGCATTTAATATATCCGATGTTCACTGAAATCAGACTTTTCCATGACAACAGACAGCTGATGACCTCCAAAAAGAGAAAGAAAGAAAAGTCCGCCAATATTAAACCGAAACAGAAATCCAATAAACCAAATTTTTTCGAGTTGACCGAAAGTGATCACAAAAAATTAGCCAAGTCAACATGCGGTGGGGGGGAAAAAAAAGGGCAAAGCGTTTTGCCAACGTCAGTGTTGGCAAATGCCACAATGTTTTTATGTCCTTTTGTTTTCCCTTTTTGCCCCCGAAAAGTATGCAACAGCCGGTGCTAGATGTGTGTGTGTGTGTGTGTTTGGGAGAGGATGAAAAATTGCTGTCCTGTCGTGCCATTGATTTGATTGACACTTTTATTGACACAGTGTTGCGGGTGTTGCTTTTGTTGTTGGTCCGAAGGGTTTTATGACCTGCCAATGAACGCGAAAGCCTTTAAGCCAATTTCGCCATTCGGCTTTTGGTAACACTTCCATTGGCAATCCATATCCATACACAAATATCGTTTTATGGGCCTTTCCAACTTGATTTTTTAATACTTTTCGTCAAATGGAATTAGAAAAAGGCCATAAATTATGGCCAAAAAATATTTGTTTGCCAATAAAAATTACTGATACGCTGGGTGTTGCTAAAGTGGTAAATTTTTACATCGATGTTTCGATAAGTAGTATTTTTAGTGAACTTGAACTTTAGTTTTCATTGCTCATCTTTAGAAAACCCTTTTTTACTTTCCATACTTAATAAAAACTTTATGAAATGGTCAATATTGTTTAATTTAGGTTGCAAAGTCAATGGTTGGTAAAACGGTTTATGACAAATTAACAAAGTTGAATGCCATTCTGATTTTTTTTGGTATCAAAGCAGGCGCCAAGTTAATATCCAACCGGCAGCTAGTAAAATTTTTGGTTTCGCCATGAATTTTCATGGCCGCAACTCTGGCTTTTTTATGCGTGCCACCGGAACAATGGCCAAGAGACCGACCAGCCGACCAAGGCCAACGAAAGTGGCCATAAAATATGACATTTGCTAGCCTTTTGTTTGCATTAAGCCAACGTATATCGGTCGCTCGGCAATTAATCAGGCTTCATTTGCACTTAATCGCGGTCATGATTTGCACGCAACTGCGTCCCAATCATGTGGCCATTAGATTCCATTATATCCGGCTTCCACTTATTCAATTTAATTTTCATTAGCCCGGTACCGATGTGGTCATCGGCGGAGCAACCAATTATTTTGGGTCCTTTGGTCGGTCTGGTCGGGAAACAAAAATAAAAACTCATTTTAATATGCGTAGGCCCGGCAACCGGCCCCATTTGTAGCGGCTCCAGGCTCCTTGTCCGAGGACTTAATTACATATTTAAATTCCAACTGCGCCGGCATTCAATAAACAAAACAAGAAACAAAAAGTTACTTTGAGGGGAGACGAACTTCATATACCCTTGCAGTTATCAGAGTAAAGGATATAGTCGGCTGATCTCAGCGGTTTCGATTTATATACTGCGTGCAAAGAACAGAAGGAAGGAAAATTGGAGCGTGATTGCACTATTTTGAACAAAATTATAATACCCTCTGTAAGGGTATAAAAGTAAGGGAAAAACATCAGTGAAATGGCGGCGATTGTGGGTTTTAAGTTGCAGGCTGTAGTTATGAGATACCATAAACGACATGACGTCAAACAAATGGATATGAATGGCTCCTACAAAGATGGCTCCAAAATATCCCAAAATTTTAGACAAAGTGCTAGTCCCTTCTCTAAAATCAGCGTTGGAATATGTCCAAGGTCATGTTTATTGTGGCTCGGAATTGGCCATCAACTGGCTTGTGAAAATATTATAATAAAAAGGAAAGCATAATTTATTGTTGTGTAACTAAAGCCGAAATGAATTTAAAGCAGCTTGATAATATTACAGAAATATGTAAGGAAATAAACTTGACGGATTTTATTAGGAACTAAAAAAATACTATAAAAACAGAGTAATGGAAAATATGGAAAACTTGGAAATTTTTCTATAAGGTTAAGTCATCACTTCTTAAATATATCATAGAAACAGTCAAGAAATTTGAGTTTATTTTCCGTATTTCAACAAAGAAAACGAAACTTTTTTGAAAACTATATACTTTTCCTCCGATAACTCATTCTAGATTTAATAAGTGATTGAGGATATCGGTAAAGCTTGACACTCCTTGTGGCTTTATTTGCTTTATTTGGGATTGATTCTCACTTGACTTTAAACTCCTTTAGGAATAAAATTTATTATAATTTTTGTGGAAAGCATTAAATTTCAGACCCAGACCTGAAATTGCTTTAATTTGATGAGCCTTTGACAGGCAGACACATTCGCATTCCCATTATTTTCATTCAGTCATTCCGACATATCCGAAATTAGTTGGCATTACACAGGCATTAGGGATACCTCATCGCATCTGCATAAATTTGCCTTGGCTGTGGAAATTGCCGGCTGAAATTTTATGTGGCACACACTGCAATTTTCCTTCAGCGTTTTCTGCGTGGCTTAATTTTCGCGTCCCTCCTATTGATTTATTAAGGCGTAGGATATTCACGCCCTCTCATAACTGCCTGCTTTTATGTGTTTGACTCATTCATTCATTGTTCGCTCACGCATTTCGCTGCGTTCGCCGTTTTATGGCCTCTAGTCTGGTTTTTCACTCC